ACCTTCTTGAAAAAGCCGATTTCCCACAGCTTCTGGACCATATCAGTTGTGCAGATGTCCTTCCTTAACAGTCATCAAATCGGAACGTAGGAAGCATTTTCGTCTCCAAGTTTGCATGCTAAAGCGGCTAGTTGTGTATATTAACGAATATCGAAGCTTAGGTACTATTCATGTTAAATTTTGCACCTTGAAAATAAACTTGGCAGCAATTCTGTTGGTTCGAAATATATATACCAAAAAATCTGCTTGTAGTACTTTAAGAAATTGTAGAATATGAAAATAAGTAAGTTCACGAAATTTTACATTGCGTTCTTCTGCATTACATATATATTTACAAACATTTGTTCTTGATTATATAAAGCGATTTGATTTCACTGATTAGATCTTGCGAAAAATCAGTAATACGAAGTCGAAAATCATAGCTAATTATTTTATTTACAGTCCTGTTTGTTGTTTGTGTTGAGATAGAGTATATATATAGAGTCGCTTGTTAGATGCATGCTAAAGATCATTTAATTAATACAATGTTACCATTTGAGTCGAATTGGGAAGAGAGGCAAAACAAAAGCAGCCACTTTGTAAAGGAAGTGGTTGCAGGGGTTATTTGGAATTTATTCTAAAAAGCTTTATGCCTTGAACAAAGACCGGTGACATGAATAGTTGCAGACGACCACTCACTGCAGCCTGCAACCTTAAATTACGGTTTTGCTGTGAGATACCTCCTTCTTCCACTTATCCATCTATCTAATCAACTGCTGCATAGGCAATAAAGGTCCACACATCCTTGAATTCTCAAAAGGTTGATCTCTATCCCCTTTCACAAACCCCCCAACCTTACTAAGAATGCACGATTCAATTTAAAGTAAATGTAACTTCACTGCTAAAGATATCTCAAAATTGCGTCTACTTGACGTGAGTTGTCTGCATTGCTGCTAATGTAGCACTCAATTTCCCCCGAATCCTTGACTGCCTTCTTCCGGTGTAAAATTCTTTGTTCCTCAATTAAACCTAAATAGACTAGCATTTTCCTAAATCGTAAGCAATGCTTAAGTGCTCACCAGATAGGAGTAAATTGAAAAAGGGTGATGATATGAACATATTAAATTATAAGTAAAACTTGACTTGCTTGCACTGCTTACTTAATTAGTGTCTATTCAAATATATCAGTATTCCGTTTCAACGGAGAAGGGCTACTCTATTTATAAATGTTTTATTTTACTACAAATATAAAAATTGGTAAACAGAGATTTGCATATTGTCCAGGTCATCTATTAATTTGATGCAACGAAAGAAGTTTATTTTTGTAATTTCCCATACTGGAATGAAACTTTACTATCAACTCAGCAGACTCAAGCCAAGTATTTAGAAAATGATGTAAAATTGCGTTGGCTGCTCAAAAGGCAAGTAGGAGGGATAAGAAGGATTGAGGAGGAAAAGCGCACAGAAGGGCGGTAGCGCAGAGTTGTGATAAAATTTTCTACTTCGGGAGAAGTATTGATCAACGC